CCCAGCTGTGCAGGGTAAGCCCAGGGCTTGTGTCCAGGAAGCGCCCTGGCCCCTGGCTCTCAGCCAGCCATAGCCCACCTTGTTTCATTCATCCATCACATCTAGAACCTTCCTTGCTCCACTGGCCCTGCTCCACCCACTCCCCACCCTCCGGCTCAGTCCTGCTCTGGCCAGGCCTACAACTTGCTCTCTGCTCAGGTGTGGGAACGATGTTGACTCTGAATCCCATACACAGAAGTGGGGAGTGGAAGGTGGGGGTAGGGACAGTGGCCAGTGCCCCCTTTTCCTACCTTCACTCCAGGGACAGACTGGGGCTGTGAAGGGAGGTTCAGGATAAGGAGGAGAGGCTGGGGGCCCAACAAAGGATGCACAGGGACCGGTCTTGCCCTCACTGCCCATCCTTCCTAGGACCTCCCCTGGCTCTGAGACGCCCTTAGAATGTCACCCTCTGGGCTCTATCTATCTCCTTTCAGATGTTCAAGCTGCTGGCCAGAGCCTATGCCGACGTGCACCCCATGATGATGGACAAGTCAGAGCAGAGGTGTGGGGGGAACTTCCTCAAGAGGGGCAGCATCATCAACGGGGCAGACTGGTACAGCTTCACTGGAGGTGCGAGGGGGGGTGCAGGGTGGGGACGCGGGGCCGTGGGGGGAAGGGGCAGGAGGTGAAGGTGTGAAGGCAGAGGGCAGGCCGGGTTGGCAGGCGGGAGGTGGGTGCCGTGTGGATGGCAGGCTGGGCCAGCATTGTCGGAGGTGGAAGGTGACACGTGGGCACCGTGTAGACGGCAGGCCAGGTCAGTGTTGTCAGGGGTGGCAGGCGGGAGATGGGCGCCGTGTGGACAGCAGGCCGGGTCAGTGTTGTCGGGGGTGGGAGGTGGCAGGTAGGCTCTGTGTGGATGGCAAGCTGGGTCAGCATCATCCTTGGGCACTGTCCAGGTGAGAGCTCCTAGTGGAGCCTGACCTGGCCTCTCCACCCATGGGGCCTCTGAGTCAGAATGCCCCCCAGCACTGTGCTGCCAAGGGCCCTGCTCTGGTGGTAGGTGCCATCGAGCTGAGTACGAACCAGAGTGACCTGCGACCCGCAGATCTGAGCCCTGTGTGGCGCCATCCTCTTCAGCTCTGACACCCTCGGGCCCATTGCTGCGGTCACCGTCTGTCCACCCTGCTGGGGTCTCCCCGCGTTGGCTAGCCCTCTCCCAGCGGGATGGCCTTTCTGCAGTTGTGCTAATACTTGTGAACATCCACGTTCAGGATTCCCGCTGTAATCACATGCCACCTCTCGGGGGTCCAGCTCAGGTGCCAGGTCAGGTCAGGACATGTGTGCCATTCACCGCAGGAGCTCTGATGTGTGGGACCACACCCCCACAGGCCAGCCAGCCTGACCCCAGAGAGCCCACCTGAAGGGTTGGCAGTTCAGGTCCACCAGCTGACCCACAGGAGGAGGTGGACAGTGTCCTCCCTTACAGATCTCCAGCCCCAGAACTCTGGGGGCGGGTCGCTGTGGTGGGAATCTACTCGAGGCAGTGGGGCTGCGTCTGGTTATATTTATGCTGATGGCACATTTGTGGTTTCTTGGACAGTCACATTTAAGTGGTGTCCTGGGTTTCATGCACCATGCCCGGCAGGGTGTCCCACCCCTACCGCCCCTCCAGCAGGCACCATGCCGTTGGCACCTCACGATGGTGTTGCAGGACATTGGTCTCACTGTCCCCCACTCCAGCATCGTGGTTGACAGAGCTGGGTCTCCACTGAAGAGCCCGAACCCCACTCCACCTGCAGGGGGCGCCTTGGGGCAGGGCTACTGGGCAGGTGCAGCCTGAACCCACTCCACCTGCAGGGGGCACCCTGGGGCAGTGCTGCCCACCAGGTGCAGCCGTGTTCAGCCCACCTGCTCTTCCCTGGGGTGGTTGTTAGTGCTCAGTGGGGCAGGTGTGTGATGAACAGATCTGTCGTCATCTCCAGTGAACAACTTGAACCAGTTCACTGAAACAGGCCCTGTGTTACCCATCCAGGTGAGGGGCTTCCCTCCACCTTTAACAGCAGGATATCTGATTCCAAAGACTATCCCCTCCTAACAACAGGACCAAAGTGAATGTGACAAAGTGTCCCCATCGTAGACGCTAAGGAGCACCCTTGCATTTCCTCCAAGACAGACTTGTTTGATCTCTTGGCGGTCCATGGGGTATTCAGTGCTCTTCTCCAACACCGCAACTCAAAGCCATCAATTATTCTTGGATCCACAACCAAAACCCTTGGCAGCACAGTTAAGAAATCAGAAGAGGTGTGCATTGTGTAAATCTACTGTCAAGGGTCTCTCCAAGATGTTCAGGAGCAATGATGTCAGTTCAAAGACTAAGGTGCATCTCATCCAAGCCACGGTCTTGTTTTGCATCTGCAAGTTGGACTGTGATTAGGGATGACAGAAGGAGAATCAATACCTTCGAGTGACCTCAGGGTGGGGATCCCCAAATCAGATGCATAAATCTCCCATTCCCAGGTCCTTGAAGCCTGGTCTTAAGCCCCCTCCTGTTTGTGGGTGTTTTTTTGGGGGTGGTGGTTTTTTTTTAAATTATAAATTACTTTATTAGTTTCTGTGTCCTGGAGTTTTGAGGGCTTTCAGGATGGTGTGGGATGGGGAGAGGCCCATGTTGGGGCCCCAGACAATAACCCATTTCCTCCCTGCCTCCCCAGCCCCAAGGATCCCAGGGAGGCTGTGGGGGGCTGGTAATGGACGGGACCCGTGGATTAACGGGCAAAGGGTCCATCAGAGGAAGAGCTGAAGAATAATAATAGCAGCAGGCTGGGTTCTGGGGCTCAGAAGGGCCCTAATCTGGGGGGGGTGGTGGAGATCTGGGGCTCAGAAGGGCCCTAAGCTGTGGGGGGATGGTGGAGATCTGGGGCTCAGAGGGGACCCAAGCTAGGGGGTAGCTGGGATCTGGGGCTCAGAGGGGATCCAAGCTGGGGGAGGTGGCTGGGTGTTAGGGCTCAGAGGGGACCCAAGCGGGGCGTGGCTCTGCTGCTCTCCTGGCCTGAGGGTGGTGGGGTGCTTCATCAAAGAGTGGGCTCCTGACCAGCCTCGGCCGAGCACCACGTTCCTGCTGGACGAGGGACTGAAAGCATGGGTGGAGGCAGAGTGGCTGGAGCCGGAGTCAGCCCAGATCTCCAGACTCTGCTGCTTAGCTGGCCAGGTGTGAATTCTCTGGAAAATGCTCAGTAGCCCCTCCTCCCATGGGGTATTGTAGGGACGGAGCCCAGGCCAATTTGTGGGGTGCTGTGGAGTCGGCTGACTCACTGGCCCGTGGACAGCAGGAGGACACCACGCCTGGCCCTGTCCCATCCATGTGTCTGCTGTGCTCGAGTTGTGTAGTACCCTATGTCACCCTGTCTCCTGAGGGCTCCCCTCTTTCTGGGTCTCCCCACATTTCCAAGCAAAGCTCTTTCCAGGGACTGGCCCCTCCCCACAGCATGTCCAGAGCACTAGCCGGTGGGTATTACGATTACAGCTGGGCACCCGGGTCTGGGGCTGTGGCTTGTCTGCCAGAAATTGGTGCGTTTCCACACCTGGAAAGTGGGCTCGGTCTTCACACGTGTGAAGTGGGGATAGTGACCCCCACGTCCTGGGTGGTGTGGTCACTCTGTGAGGGCCCGAGGGTGACCGCTGAGGGACCCCCCCCCCCCCGCAGGTATGTCTGACTTCAATTACCTGCATACCAACTGCTTCGAGATCACCGTGGAGCTGGGCTGCGTGAAGTTCCCGCCAGAGGAGGCGCTGTACACGCTGTGGCAACACAACAAGGAGTCACTGCTGAGCTTCGTGGAGATGGTGAGCGGGGCGGGGGGCACACACTGCCCTGTCCACTCAGCCCCTCCTGACTGTGGACACGGTGAGCGGGGTGGGGAGCAGCGGGCAGGGGGCACACACTGCCCTGTCCACTCAGCCCCTCCTGACTGTGGACACGGTGAGCGGGGTGGGGGGCAGCGGGCAGGGGGCACACACTGCCCTGT